AGAGAGCTGGGCTTCCTGGGCACAGAGAGAACGGCCACACAGCCCGGAAGGCCCACACCAGCCATCACAGTTGTTTTTACCCATTGTGCTAAATTATGCTTTGTTTTAACCATGTTTTGTAGCACAAATAGTGGCCCACTTCATATATGCTGCATTGTAAACCAGACTTTACAAACCATTATGTAATTCTATGTTGCACTGTAATTTATTCTTTTCTTTGTTTTGGCTTAGCACAGTATTTAAACCCAGTAGCAAACTGGGTCAAATCATGGTTTACTGGTCTGAGAATAAGCTAAATATTCATATGTTCTTTTTCTTACATGTGCCTTGACTGCACATTTCTTAAGCTAAAGTTTACTGGTTCATCTGAATTCCTATGATTTAAATTTGGTTTGTAAACTAAGCTACAAAAGCAGGATCTGCTCTTGGGCATTTCACATGCAGCAGTGTTAGCTAGATGGATATGGAAGAAGGGGAGCAAGGTGCTGATATTGATGACTGTCAACTAGGAAGTGGGAAAAATCCATCCAACATGATTAATGTTTTTATAGATCTAGTATCCAGCAACTGGAAAGAAAGGATATTTCTACCGACTAGTTTTCTGCAGTCCTCACTGGTAAACTGGATGTTCTTGTTTCTTGCCTTTAGAGAATATGAATTTGTGGCTTGTAAACCACAATTTGTGCTTTAACTTGGTAAGTGACTCCAATGACTTTTTGATGCAGTATTCTGTTTCATAGCTGACCTCATGAGAATTGTACGTGGAGAGTAGGCTGTAAAGTAGGAGGAAAAGCTTTAAGAAGGATGATGTAAGTTTCAGTCTGCAGCACATCTGTGGATGTGAAAGTAGAGTTAATTATGATGCTCCCTCCATTTGTGAATTGTGAAGCAGGGTATTAAAACGTATCTTAGGTTTCTACAATCATGGCATTTCAGTGCTACAGCCTTCAGACAAAGGAGGAAATCTAAGAGGAAGAATTGGCAAGCTTCAGCCATTTCAGTTCTCGTTAAGTGATGCACAGCCCTCAGAACCATAAACTAACCAGCCCCATTTTAGCCTAGCATGTACTTTGCTATGGTTCAATGTGTTGAGCAAACTTGGACAATTGGGCTAAATAAACCATATTTAAGATAATCATAGGTAAACCTGTACTGCAAGCACCATCATAAGCTACAAAGCAGGAGTATTTGCTAATTAATCATGCTTTGTGCTTCAGCAGACTCATAGTCATTTGTTTTTATTTATTTAAAGAATCTATATAACTCACCCATCTCAATTTAGTGACTCTGTGGCTAACAAAACATAAAACAATACAATATAAAAAGCACCAGGAAACGTACAGCCAACTGAAATAGCCTTGCCCTGTATAATACCCTCCAGCATTGGCTTGCAACTCCATTTTGCAGCCACCATAAAATTTGTGGTCTAACACATTAGATTGGAAGACATCAAATTGGGGAAGATTGGTTTGAAGGTTTGTCATATTGACACTTCGTTTTGTAGTTGTAAAATGAATCCCAGAAAGCCCAGTCCATTCTTCTGTTTTATAGCAGCTTTGAGAAGTTAAAAAACAATGCTGAAGTAATGTTTCCTGTGTCTGAAGTTCAAAGCTTTCCATATCACTAGACGTTGGAGACATAATTCCTCTGGCACGTGATGGGAAGCAATGCTAACATTGCCACATGAGCACTATGATACAGAAATTCCCAGTCAACATCCACATTTCTCAAATAAATTAAGGTATAATTCTCCCAGGCCTTGCAGTGGGGTGGTTGTGGAGCCCCTTTTATTATGGCTGGCTTATAGTTGGTGCTCTCTTCTTCCTGCCAGTTATGTTCTTTCTTATATGTATTGTTTTTATTTGTAAAAATGGATAAAATAAGTAAATGGAATGAACCAATGTATATAATTCCTCAAAAAATGTTTGTTGTTAATATGTGAGTAATACTTGGAACTGTTACAGTCCTTGGATACTGGCCACAGCGTCACCCCATGTCAGTTGACCCTAGTTCCCTCTCTCTGCATTTCCCATTAGGTCTTTCAGCAGAGAAGAACTGTAACTTGGTATGCATTGCTCAGAAAAACCTTCCTGTAATTATTGTAAAAAAGATTTCAGTTTAACTATAGTTTCTGGCCATCTGCTGGTAATATTACTAATTATTTAATATTAGAACAGTTATGTGTCATTTGCAAAAAGGTAGATTATGTCCCTCTCTTTGAAAAAAAGTTTAACTGTTAATCATCATATTAATATGTTTTCCCACTTGTTTTAGCTTTACGTAACCTTAACAAATTTCCTTACCCATGTTGCAAACAGTTTGCCTCCATCTGGGCTGTTACATTTTCAAGACTTAAGGTAGTTCAATTCATTTGTAGCTTTACTGAGGAAAGTCTGTGCTTTGCATAAGGAATTTCTCGACATGCGAGAAAAACAATTATACGGGGAAATAAACCAGAAAAGATAGACATTTCTTCAACTCTACGAGAGGCATATCTTTGCATATTCTACCAAAACCTTTATATCCCATTATGATGAAAAAGGACTGCTCACACTGGATTAACTGTCACAGACCTTTCGGGGTGAGGAGCTGCATCTGAACCCTAAACTAGGTCCCATAGTAGCCAAGGATGCATTGGATTCCCTTATTTCTGATGACAAAGTCCATTCCCAGTCCTATTGATCCCACTGATATCTCAAGAGCATGAAACCCATGGTTACTAAATAATTGTATTTAAACAGAGTTCTCTCTTTCATTTGTCTTATTCTTTCACTATTTCAAAAACATCCAAACTCAGGAACTATAGAAAAAGTGTAAAGTTTACTGTAAAGTTGTTGTTGCGTATAAAAACTGATGGAGTTGACACATATTAAATACGGCTCAATTATTTCAAATGCGGCATTTAAAAATTGCATTCCGCCTAATCAGGTTGGAAAACTTTCCACTTAGGCCTATTTGTTTATTGTTTTTAAATAAATGTGCTGAACAATAAATCCATATTTCTGATAGCTTGATTTAATGATGTGGTAGCAGCTGAGTCATATTTCAGCTTTATGCATACACTTTGCTATTATTTTCACGGCCTAGTCCCTTCGATCCACTGCAATTCGTAAACATGAGTCAGATAGATTTCTCCAAAGGACCTACTTATTTCTGAAGCCTGTCAAGTTACTTCTTTGTGTAGATTCTTTCTTACTCTAACATTATCTGCCGACCTCAGTCCTGGAAATTTGTTTGAATACAGATTTCTGGCTGCAAACCTCAGTGGTGGCAATCTTTTCAGGTCAAAAATCCAGATATAACATGGGTCCACAAGAAAGTCAGAAGATTAGACCCATGGTTTGTTTTTATTTCCTGTTTTTTATTTTTAATATCTAATGTTATTGCATTTAATTACAGTTGCAGTGATTCTTCTGTACCCATGTGGTTAAGTTATTTGATTCATGCTAGCTGATGCTATAATTTGATTTCAAGTTTCTCCTTT